TCTGCTTATTGTTTGTTACTTATGCATGGTTTCCATGAGATGGATGGAGGTATCGTAAAGTAGAATAAATTCGGCTACAGTGCTCAAGCAAACTGGGCCCCAGACACGAGCATGGGCGAAGAATTTCATCAGGATTAAAGAACGTTCCCTTATTTCACAGATGGAAAAACATTTACATCCTGAAACTGGAGACTGTGCTAAGAGGAAGATCAATTGCATTTTTTCTCCACTTGGTTGCAACGTAAAGGTACGTAGCAAATTGCATCATAGCTGCCTGGTTTTTGTAGCACTTGGCACGTCCAACAGTCTAGCCACTTTGATCCTTCAAGATTTAAGGCGTACAGAAACTTAGCCTGCCAGTACGTGTACGGAAAGTTCTATCAGTGTCATTGGTAGGGCTTGGTTTGGTTTGGGCTTTCTGCGGGGTTTGTTCCAATTTGGTGTATTTCTCCTCTCCCGATTTTGACATCTTCACTATGAAGCCTATAAGACCAAGTCTAGGGTCTAAGCAATGAATTTTCTCAGACTTACTTGTAGTGCAGTGCCATTCTTCTCAGAGTTTCAAAACTGTCTGAAATCTGTTTAAGATTAAATGTAAGGGTACTTGTAGAAAAAGGGAAATCATGCACGCTTTTCCTGGCCTCTTGACATGCTTGAGAGCATTATTGCTGTGATGTCATTCAGAGAAGGCACTGTTCATGTTATACATTGTGAACACAGAATTGACACCATTGCTGAGACAAGTTTACTCGTTTGTTTTTTTCTGTGCACTTGCACACGAAGGAATCCCAAAGAAGAGAAAATTCAGGCTAGCAAACACTTAGAAATTCCAGTCTGAGCTTTGTGTACAAATCGATGTAACATTGAGGTTTTTTCCCTGAATAAATTCTCAGTTTTGCTCATAAATATTGAAATACAGGTACTTGTCAGCAAGAAAACTAGCACGGCACCAGAATACCATTTGCAACAGGAAACAAAAATTTAAAATAATTGAGACACAAGGATGCATTGTCAAAGACTACATGCATGTATATGTTTAAAAATATATGTAGCATTTTGTAAACCCTTCATGCATGGATTAGAAGAACTCTCCATTACCAAACAATGGGAGAGAAGCGTTTAACACATATTGGGGTTCAAACCATGCACTTTTGCTGCAAATGTGCGCACAGCTGTTTGTCGTTTTGCATTTTTTTAACTTTGCAGGTAAATAATCAACATTCAAAATGCACACGAGCAAATGTTTAAAACCATTTAACAGCTATCATAAAAAAGACAGCACATAATATACAAAAGTAGCACGCCTGCGTGATTGAAAAATAATGTAATGTCTAGCTGGTTTCCTTGGTGCTGCCAGATAAATTGAAACGCTGAAAACTCAAAACAAACTAATAAATCAGTCAATTTGCAATCATGAAAAAGGGACTAACAGACAAATAAAATAATATGTACCAAAACTGTCAAACAATTTAGTACAGACCAACGTACTGCAATTGAGTGTACTGCCCATCATTGAAAGGATTGAGCACATGTAGTGGTACAAGTTTGTACATACGAGCACATACATGTAGTTCAACAAAGGGCCTTGCTTTTTCTGTTTAACAGCTTGTAGTCAGGTCTTCTAGACTAAACACGCACTCCCATGCTTGAGAACTATTTTCAACAAAGACCACCCCTAAAGGAAAAACTATTAAAACCTTTTGTGGTTTATTCACCTGTTTTCCCTCCCACAGGTTGTCAAATAGATGTGCCCCTGCCATGAAAAACAAACAAAAGGCTAACCACTCACCAGTGCTTGTGAATGTCAAAATAATAAGTCAGTTTCAGTTTTAGTTTTCACTACTGGTACACCTACACGGCGCATGCATATTGTACTGTACACGTTTCATTTCATGCAACAACGAATACAGATTGTACTGAACAGTGATATTTTATCACTCCTAAAACACGACAATGCAAAGTATTTAGATATGGTAATAATTACATGTGGGCCTACCGTTCTCTTTTATACATGTACATGTATATTTCCTGTATATGATTGGTACATGTACACTGTTAGGCCAGCACTTTCTTATTTATTGGATTGCAACCGTACATGTACATGTAGCTGAAAACCCTACCGGGTCACAAGAGAAAAAAACAAAGACAGACTCTAAATTCTGGTCCCCCCCCACAATCTGGGTAGGAATAAGAAAACAATGAATTTAGTCTATTGGGTTTTTTTTTTCAAAATGCTCAAAACACCAAGAGAACGAAGTAATGTCACTTATTCATGTTTTTTTTTTCTAAAATTGCATTACTTAAAGTCAGGGGATTCTTTCAGCCATGTTGTTTTATCTCGTACATTTATAATGTAGACACAGTTATTTTAAACTGGTGCTCATCAGAGCATATATTTTGCATGGATTTGTATTATAAAAAAATGCTTTGTATACTCCGATGATAAACACACACCATGTATATGTACATATACATATACACGGATGACAATGATAATGTATTTTTGTGTTTATAAAACTACATGTACGTAAGAAAAGTATCAATAATGATTTTTATGGTTGTTTATGAGCTAATGTGACATTTAAATTCTTTCATTACTTTGTGTCTGTTACATACATGTACGTTAGTATTTGGACTTGTACAGTACCATGTGTTCTCACAGGATGTTAAAAGTGCACCTCCAATGAGAATGAACCTTCTACGCCTGCATTGCAGGGTAGTTTTTGTTAATTCTCTGTTCAGTGTAAAGTCCCTGTCACGATAGAACAGGGGAAGAATGCACAGTTGCTTCAGGAATGTGAGGTTCATTACATTAGTGAAGAGGTTTGGTCGGTAGGTTATTTTTCATTTTGTTTGAAATTTGACATTATACATGTATTAACCCTAATACTCCCAAATCCTCCAATTTCAGCACGATTTTACATACACTCTTGGGGGTTAGGGTTAATCCAGGAAGTTTTTGCACATAAAAATTCACGCTGCAGATACCCAGATAAGCAGATATTTTTACCACAATTGTTCCCTTTAGAGATATTGTTATGTTGTGGTTGGACATGTTGGAATGGATGGCTCCTGACATGTGCAGTATGCATTTATGTATGTTTGTAGATAAGAACCAGATGTGCTCATTGATATTGGCCTGTAAATTGACTAGTGTCGACGTGGCATCTACTCAGACAGGAAGTAAATGATAAATGTGTTCTACTGATGTTTTTTTTTGGGGGGGGAGCTCAGTGCAGCTCCTTTGTTTGATTCAATTTCAAATGCTAAATATTTTTGGTGACACATTGCATGTGTGTTACAGAGAAATGCTTTCAAACTCTTTCAAACACCTTGTGGATTTTATAAGTTAATTGAACATTTCTGTACATGTTTGTGCTTGCCTAAACTGCGTATCCATGGGCATTAATTTTGCAGGTGAGTATGCAGGCTTAAAACCTATACAGTTCCCACATCACTTTCAGTGAATGCACTAAAACACCTGTTTTTGTTTCATGTACATTGATATACGTGTACAATTATTTTATATTATACATGTATTTTATATTTTTTGACAAAAGTTGTGTGATGTTTCAATTGTAATGCTATTTTCTAAATCTTTTATCTACACCGTATTGCTGAAGATTCAGAGTTGAAAAACGACTAAATGTACGTGTACCAGTACTCCCAAGGGAAGTCCATGGTTGAACAAATATACATGTACATCATATCTGGGCTTTGTGACTGGTGCAGCTGTATGCAAACTATATAGCAGACACTACTGTTGCTGTTATGCTTCATGTACATGTACAGTACATGACCTCAGTTTGACACAGAGGCATAGACAACTCCTTTGTTCATGTAGCGCAGTTGTATGCGCCCTCTTGTGTACACGTAGTGACTGTTGCTGAAGCAACCCCGTCACATGACCGTTTGGCGGGAAATGCCTTGCCAGTAAAATTCCACTTCCATTCCCGCCAACTGCAGCCATGTGAGGGGATTTTCCCCCGAACAATCGAGTGTAAATTTTGTTCTGAATACCGTACATAAAATGATCAAAGGATTTCTGAGTTTCTAGCTCTTCTGTCAACCAAGTCACTGATTTTTGGGGAGCATCGGTGCATCTATCATGTCTATGGTATGATGACCTAAGTTAAGAATGAAAGCTTTAAAAATGATTTCTATAACAAAAAAGCTTCAAGAGGTTAACAGAAATTAAAGTGAATGGCTTGGTATACATGTACAATGTACATGCCTTGAATTCTACATGTACATTATCTATAATTGACGCGTATTTGACTGGGTTTAGTTTCCCCCTGTAACATTTTGAAACTTGTTCGAAAATCTTCTTAATCAGAAATGTTGTAACTGAAAGGATTTAGGCTTCAGTTGGAACTAACTTGTGTGATGCTGATATCATGTTAGTACGTTTTTTAATTGAAAGAGCACTAGTAATCAAGACCCTCACAATATACAAGATGCTTATACAAGTAAGTAAAAGAAAACCCACAAATTAGTGTTTTTTTGGTTTTTTTGACAACTCTTGCAGATACCGCAGTATACCAACCATGGTTGGAGGCATGTTAGATGTAGCCACCATCTATAAATAATCTGTTGTTTATTGTTACTTACCCGTTGAACCATGAGAGATGGTCTTTGAGTTCATCTCGCCCGGAAACATGCACAGCAGTTGCCCTACATGTAGTTTTAAATTGCGCAGTAATAGCTGACCTTTGCCATCGAGGCGCATGTATTCATTACGTGGCACGACATAAATCAAGCAACCTACACATAGGCCCATGTAGCTCCTCTCTAAGTTTCCTTATATGTACATATATAGTTTGCGATTGTTTGGCACAGCGCCCTCTTTTTTTGTGTACATGTAGAGTAATGTACACGTATGTGTGTGTAAGCTAGTGCCCGGGCATGGGCAGTAAACGTGTGTTTGTACATGGAGGTCGAAACAGACACAGTTCTCTTGCAGTTAAGACCGATTTTTGTCATTGCATAATGACAAGGTGGATGCTGACCCATTTTATAGTGACTCGGACAGCAGCAGCCGTAGCTGTGATGAGGATGTATGTAGTCAAATTATATCGTTGACACTGGTCTTTCAGTGGCAGCAGTTTGTATTTTGACAAATGGGTATGCATGTGCGCATACGTATGTCCCATCAGGCCCAATTGACACAGTTATCGGTATGATGTGGGCCAGTGGCACTATAGCCTGCTTTGGCAAAACATGGGGTGGGTTTTTGACTTGATAGAA